ATTGAAATTTGGACCATATATAGCCTCACTATTACTCTATTTTGTGCTAAAATTTCAGTTAGTTTCGTTATCCCATTTTTTAGTTATTAATGAAAATGTTAAAAAAATCACGGTTTTCTGCCTACAAAATTGATACCTCCCACTTTAAGTCGTCGGAATTTTTTTGTTAATTGATAAAAAAATTCCAAATTTTTACTGACGATAGGTCGAACTATTGTCTTTAGTACTGTGAAGGTCATTTGTCTCAAAAGCTCTTCTTTTTTTATTTTTAAGCAAAACAGAACGGAGTGCTATCTCCGTAAATATTGCATTCTTTAAAAAAAGAAAAAAACTGACTCAAGTAGTAAATAATTGTAAACAACAATCTGAAAAAAATTGTTAAAATAATACAGTTTTAAAGACTATACCATTCCGATACTGTTTTTAAGGATATCATATTTATAACTGTATTATTTTAACAAATTTTTTCAGATTGTTGTTTGCTACCCATGTCAGTTTTTTTCTTTTTTTAAAGAAAGCGATAGTTACGGAGATAGCATCAATTAACACACACAATATGGTAATAGCAAGGCTATATATGGTCCAAATTTCAAATTTTTTTAAGTTTTCTTAATATCGACTTCCAAAGTCAGGGGTCTATTTCATTTATTTCGACAGTAGTGTACTGTACATAATTTTTACGTTCACGATAAATAATTTTTTTTCAGATACTATTTGACCAAAAAATAGAATTGAGATTGTAACTTTAGAATTTCTGATAACTACATTCAATATGGAAAAAATCAAAGCATGTCACTAGACTTTACAAAATTTGAGATTCTCTATCTTTTTAGAAATACAAATAAATTTTCATAGTCATTGTGTAAAATATATTCAAATATATTCTTAATTTTCTCATTCGTGTAACAAGTTATTTTATATACACCAGGAGGATTTTTTTGCAAATATCAAAATAATGAAATATCACTCAAATAGATTACCTAAATCGTCAAAGCAATTCCTCTTTTGGGCAATATAACAAAATAAGAACATGATGGACTCATTAATTGAAAAATCATCACTACTTATCCTTCTTACAGTCCGTATGATATTTGTTGAGATAGAAACACGCCTTCGTAACTGCAAAACCGCAAGCTGCTACGGTGAACGCCACGCCGTCAATGCCTTTCTACCTCGGGTGTCGAATGCGGTTAATTCCAAGAAAGTGACGCAGGGGTCTTCTTGGAAATTTATCTGAACATATATCGTACGGACTGTATGAATTATCCTTTCAATTAATTATGATTCCTTATTTTTTCCATTCATTTGCGTCTAATCATTTGAATAAAGAAAATTGAAGCTCGTTTTCTAATATGGATAACTAAACTTAGGTAATATAGTTTTTATTTTTTAATAGAGAATATTTATTAATAGGAATAGTTCATGTAAAGTTCTTTACATGTGTTGAAGTTGTTACTTTTCAAATGGTTTTCCTTAATTATCTTTAAATCGGCTTCATTTTTCTCGAAAATGGTACATGCTACCGAATTTCGACAAGTATACCTTTTTTTTGTAGTATCCTTTAAAATTTACAGAACCGTTCAGAAATGTAATAAATTTTGATTTTTAACATATTTTTTCTTCGATTGTACCCTTTCAATTACCTGTATCGGCGACACTGCTTTTCAGAAAGAAACCGTTTGCACATTATTCTTAACGCATAGTTGGTGTTTACTCGTGTACAAATTTTGACATTTTTATCTTTAGCCGATTTAAAGATAATTAAGGAAAATCATTTGGAAAATAACAACTTCAACACACTGTACCTCGAAAATAGGGCGCCTAAGAAAAAAACTATACATGAACTTCCTCTATTATTTTCCCATCAGGAACTTGCACACAAGTTTTTTTGAAACATGAACGGGTCGAATAATAAAATATTTCCACGATATCTTAAAAGCCGATAACTTAATCTTGTTCATATTTAAAATGCAGACATACTCGTACTTATATAATATACGTAATATTATTCGAATTCTACATCTTGCGTAAGAAAGTGACTATTTAAATTTCAGCTTTTTAATTTTTACTCGATTTTTTAATTTTTGAAAAATATTATTCATAAGGGTGTTGACTAGAAAGAAAAAGATATGTATTAATGCAACCTAATGTACGTACCAGAATTTATGGAAAACGGTTCAACTAATTAAAATTATACAAAGTAGAGCACCTTTTTTGTCTTTCTCGTAGTCTAGAGATCAATATTGTTCAAAAATTAAAAATAATGGAGTTAAAAAAAGTTAGGAATGAAATATTGACAATCACATTCTAAAAAAGGTGGATGTACGACTTACATCAATGTTCAGATCTCTGAGAAATTTTAAGATATCCTAAAAATATAACATTCATATCATAGCCATTAAAAGAATATAACTTATAATTATAATATAATTTCCGTACTATCTATTTCAAGAATAAGCACAGCTTTTACAGTTTTGTTACAAACTGACAATTATTTATGTATAAATGATTGCATTCAGATTAAATTCGTCAACAATCTTACCTTATAAATAATACGAATAAAAAATATTTTTGTTTATCTTAACAACAAAGGCTCTAACGGCGAAGGTTTAAATAATATAATTCTAACATGGCATATTCTCAGGCAAAAATTAAATAAATACTAAAAACTTGCATTAAAAGCTTTGAAATGCTTATACTTAGATTTAATGACATGGCTGCATATCTCCTAAATTAAAATTCCATTAAATTAGCCATATTTCGTACAAATCGGTTAAATTTGTCCGTATAGGTGATGTGTTGAAGATCAGCTCCAGTGCTGACAAATCGTCTCCACGGCGTCGATTTAATGGCAAACATGTGGCGCTTATTAACACCGTTAAAGCATTAATTACAATACGCATTCGTCATCCGCGGAGTGTGATCGCTGCGAGCTACTTGACGTCCGCTGTAGTGACGCATAAAAATCGTGGAACTCCCCATCCGTTGCCATGTCCCAAAGAGGTACCGAAGAAACATATATAATGCGGCTATGCTAATTTGTTCAAGACTTTGCGCAATTAGAATCAATTATGGCGTGACGGATTTTCGATGAACTCGATTACGACTCGTTTATTAAATAATTTTTTAAGCTACAGGGTGGGTCGAGATAAATATACTGGCGCAAGCGTTGCGCTAGATTTTCAAAAACGATTAATGTTGCAAATTATTATGGAATTATTTCAGGTCATTCAAATTTATAATTAGTTAAGTCATTTAGAGTTTTATAAACGTATGCTTGAGAGACGTTTAAAAAATGTGATAAATTTTGTATTATTGCAAAATGTGGTCGAATACATATCGTTGCTTCGTATGAAATGCTACTTGTGAATCGTAGGTTGTTGGCGTTCACAATTAACCAATTTATTTTTTGAAAGTTATCAATGTTATCGTTATTCAATTGTAAGATTATTATTTTTCTGTATTTGTCAAAAAAGTGGTGAGATTTTCCACAACGATAATACATCCATATCATTCAATGTTTTCGCTTGTGCACCGGTAACTTATGGAGACTGGTTCTGTAATCGTAAGAAGATCCAATGCAGGAAGACGTCGTTTGTTAACAGCCTATTAAGAAGGAAATATCTTGAATTTAATTGAAGGAAACTCATTGGCAATATCGATTCCCGATTAACTGTTGGGTTAGATGGCATAATTGGACCACATTTCTTGCTCCCTGATCTAAACACAGAAATTTACCTATCTCATGGAAAATAATTGTTTCAAATTGTTTTTGTGAAGTTTTTATTAACAATTCGGCTTTTAACATTAAATTTAATTAGAATTTCATACCAATACGGTATGCATTCGATCACATTTTACCATTTTTCTCAAAAAGTTTTACGACAAGAATATCAAGAGACAAGAAATTTTCAAAATTCAATGTAGCACTATCAGGTTCCACATGTCATAAAACCCCTGTATATCAAATTTAGTGAATCTTGTATTGGGTTCTGAGATATAAAAAAGACTATTCTTAGGAGTAGGCCACTTGGCAAAAATAAAAAATACGGATCCCCTTTTGTCTTAAGAATATGTGACCAAATTTTGTTGCATTAATTTCGGGACACCCTGTATATGCAGTAAGTTGTAGGTGAAATACATGTCAAGTAAATTAATTGTAAATGAGTAATTTTTTAACTGTAGTATACAGCTTTCGAAAATATGTTGTTTGATTTGCGAAATCTTGCGAAATTTGCGAAATGCGATTTGAATTGCGAAATTCTTTTGCATCCTCGAATAATTTTTTTGCTCGATATCGCTCGTAAAAGAAACTTTTATTCTCGAATGCAAAAATAGTAGTTTGCAATCTAGCATCAAAGGTAACTATTTTCATAACTCTAGACTTATCCCCTTTCTTGCACCAGGGTCTTCAATTATTCTTCAGATCAAAATTGAGCAATATTTGCTGAATACAGATACCAGTAGCTATAATGACTTAAAGCTCAGTAATACCCAAATTGGCGCATGTATGGATACATAATGTTTTCTAATTTTGTATCTGAACTCTAGGAGGTTTCATTTGTATTGTTTTAGACCTGCAAGTTTTTACAAAACAATGGTTTTAAAAATACTGATTTAAGATATTCAGAATGTTAAATATTTTGGGTTATTATGCCGTGACCTATGTACGTGGTCACCGCCAGTTAAAGATTTTCATTGCACTTTTTTAGTTTAACCTTGATCTGCCCTTGTCGTTCTCGGGCTAGGTTCTGTGGAAGCGGAACCGCTATCAGAACCCCTTGGCTGGCCCTGATGTTCATTTCAGTTCTTGTTGGCTCTAAAGCCACTATGGAGGGAACAGCACCTCTCAGACACATTTTACAGTTAACTTTTTGTATTAAAAAAAAGTACCAATAGTTTAAAAATATATTCTTGAATTTTTAAGGATATATCTTTTTTCATTGACTCAGTTTTACCTTCAAGGAAAATTTTTAATTCTAAATTTCGCATTATTTCAGGTGCGATATACGGGTTACAGAGACAGACCCCAGGAAGAGAGGATGGTCCGCTTCCAAAATGCGTGCCGTGAGGGACATACAGAAATCGCCTTTGCGGCTACCGGTACCAACCTGCAGCTGATGTTCTCACCACCCACCACTGGCTACATGCCCGACAAGGAATGTGATTTTGACAAGGAACAGGGAAAGGTAAGACGATCTAGAATTATTCTTTAGAAAACAGTAAAGGAAACGATTCAGAGATGAAAACTTGACACTTAAATATTAAAATTAAATACTACTATAATATTAGCCTCCTAACCAATTCTATTAATGAAACAAAGTAAAATAAAATAATCAGTTGATGTCTTCTTTCTCAACTTTTAACCTAAAACTCTAGAGAGGGAAAATTTTGAAATAAAAATTTTTGTTTGATAGCACTCAGTTGAAAATATTTGTTAAATTTACGATGTGGTTAAATATCTCGGAATATTAAAATATTACTATTATATTGAAGAAAGGCATTTTTAAATAAAAAAAAAACATTTTTAAATCAATTTATTGATGTTACAATAGTGCCTTCGAGGTTTTGTCTCACTGTACTGGTCTTTGATTTATGTGTTCCCCTTTTCAAAAATAATAAAAGAAGATTTCCAGTATGGTATTCTCTTGACATCTTGAGGAATATTAAACTGATGGATAGATGATGTAGAAAATATAAAACATGCAAGGATGTCAATGCTTTGGAAAACATGTAAACTTTATATACAAGCCGCGTTTCTTGATGTATCAAATAATCCCTATCGCTTTTAGTCATTTGTTAAATAAAAAATAACATAACACTAAATAAAATACTACGCACAGGACACTGTTGAGGATTTCAGTGCTTTTTTGGTAGTGCTTATTGATCAAAGTCTGATGTAACGCAAGTCGTTGGTATAATGATTAGTGATTTAATGAGATTGAACGATTAACTGAAGCATGTGTAACAAGAGCTCTTAAAAAATTACAAACAAGTCAAGAGATTGTGATCACTCACTTCCTGATGACTTTTGACTGCGTATTCAGAAATGTTATTATAAAACCTAAATCATATGACTTTAAAAAACTTTTTAATTAGCTTCTTCACTTCGTACTTACATAATAGATTTCAATATAACGGTTTCAAGTCAAATACTTTTCTTGCATTATCTGGTGTACCTCGAGGGTACAATTTAAGTCCTCTGTACTTTGCATTATTTATAAATGATTTATGCGATGGTAAAAAGTGTAGTTGACTATTATTTGCTAACGACTGTAACTCGTTTAAAAACAGGGATGTTTTAAAAACTTTGTACCTTTTAGTACGGTTAAGGATGGAATATACAAGGTGATTCAAAACTTATCAAAAAAAAATGAGGAGACTCTTACAAATACAATTTTGTAAAAAAAAATAGAAAAGGGCAGTTCGAAAATTATTTAAAAATACACCCATCCGCAAATATTCGAAAAATTGATGATCATTGTCCTGAAAGCGGTTATCCCAACAATTTATGACTGTTTAAATTGAATATCTAATAATTAAAATAGGAAGAATAATTATGGTGAGGTTTTCATTGTGTCTTTGAATAATTTTACCTAGACATGGATTTGATTGTTTAATATTAAGTAATTTATTTTTTGCACTATTATATACATATATTTATAAACAGTGGCGGCTCGTGAAGGAGGACTCTGGGACTCCGCCCCCCCCCCCAGATATTTTCAAACTATAAACTTAAAATAATGTATTTATTTAAATCAATAAGAAATCTAAATAGCATGCATTCAATATCTCTTGGATGTTAGGTTGGTTGCATAAAGTGCATGTACTCCGTGAACGTAGCTCAGATTAATGCCATCTGCCATCTATGATCGTACCAAAGAGTTATGTTTAACCGCGCGCGCAATCCCCACTCCATCGCGGACCGTGAAATCTGAGTCCATCGTGCAAGCATATTTTTACATATGATTGGACAAATTGGCACGTGGAGGGGATAGGCGACGATAGGCTCGCGCGCTTTGTTTTGGGACTCCATGAGGCAGTAACCCGTATCACTGAAGTGTGGTTATATGTGTTTTGTTTTTGCTTTGGCGCTTTTTAAGACATTATATTTTATAAGTTTAAGTTTAAAATGAGGGTTTGTGAAATAAAAAAACTTGTTATTAGTAATTTAAGTTTAGAGGAAAAAGTCGAATTGAAAAATAACGGACGTCCAACGCCAGTGTTGAATTTAGTTGAGGTGCAGAAAGAGTGCAAAAAGTGGGCCGGCTTTCGCAAATTTGATAAAAACATTTATGATAAGACCCTGTGGTTGTGTGGTTGTGACCAAACAAATAGATTTTTTTGTTTTGTATGTTTATTGTTTGGAGGAGGCGAAGAAAACTGGACGAAAACTGGAGTTTCTGACTTGAAACATTTAGAAATTAAAATTAAGAAACATGAAAATTCTCCTAAACACAAAAATAAGTTGGTGAGTTTTTTACTTTTAGGAAGAGTAAATATTGCTTCTTGTTTAAATAGTGCTTATGCAGAACAAATAAATAGTAAATAGTCATAACGAAACAGTTAAGAAAAATCGATTGCTTCTTTCAAAAATTTTAAATATCTTAAAACTATGTGGTACATGTAATCTTTCTCTTCGTGGACATAATAAAAAAAGTGACTCGGCAAACAAAGGGGTATTTTTAGAACTGATAGACTATAGTGCAAAAATTGATCCCGTTTTAGATAAACATCTTAGTGATGCCCATGTTTTTAAAGGAACTTCAAAAACTATACAGAATGAACTATTACAGTAATCTACATAATTATATCCTAACTGGGTTGGTTGATCGATTATCCACTTCAGCCCCCACACGTTGGAATTTTGTTTCTCGCATTGTATCTAAGTAGCTACTGTACACACTGACAGTATTCATTTTGGGGTACTTGCAAAACACAATGACCTTCAAATTCCTTAAAATTTTTCGCCGCGGGGGGCTGCCACCCCCCACACCACCTGCAGGTCTTATAATGTATATCCTCTTTTCTAAATGCGCCCCCCCTGTATTCAAACCCAGGGGCCGCCACTGTTTATAAATATTTACATTTTTCTGATAATCTGCATTATATTAGGAAGATGTGCTTGCAATCTTTTATTTTTCTTTAATTTGTCCAATAAATGGATTATCTGGTTGGGCAATAATCTCATTAACGTTAATATTTTCATTAATGAACTTAAATTTGACTCCATCTCCATCTAAACCTAGCTAAACACTTAAGAACCTCCACCACTGGGTTACTTCCACGGCAAACAGCAATTTACCGCCTTTCATTGTAACCCGGGCGACCTTATAGGGTCAGGTACCGAATCTTTTTCGGCAAACACCAAGTGGGCGGCCACAGGGAACTGTTTTTACGGGAAATTGAATGGGGGCAATTAACCCGAACAACTTCGTTGTAAAAGGATGCGCTTGGTTATAATTGTGACACTAAACAACAATATCTGTCCGGAGCATACTTTATGCCCAATTTCAACTCGAACTCATAAACTGACTGTAAAATGTTACTTTGAAGGGAGGTCGTTAAATATTATTGTGCCCAACGAAGCGAGGTTTATGGTTTTCTTGCTTGTCGGACGGTTCGTGCCACACTGGGACTGTGTTTTAAAAATGTGGCTTTTGGAAAATTGGCAGTAAAATGAAGCGGTTGCTGCGGCATATTTTATTCATATTTCAGCGTGCGTCCTTTCGAAATTTATTGCAAAACGTTAAACGAAGATGGGAATGAAATATTAAGCGGTTATTTCTGCGAAAGGATAAGTATGTGTAAAACTACCTAAATAAATATTTTGAAAAAGTTTTACAATCTTGTGAAGTCTGCTATTAACTTTTCTCTATTTAACAATTTTTTTGCTACTTTTTAACAATTTTAGTATATTTTAAGCGTTAGCCAAAGTAGTAAATTTTTCTGAAATATATTTTATTTTCATAAAACAAGGTACTTGTAATGTAGATTACTTCTGTTAAACAACATAGAAAAAAATAAATTAAACAAATGTAGCACAGAATAAATTAAACATATTTAATGTAAAAGTTCAAGTTATCGGCTTTTTAATATTTTTTAAAGAAGTTAAGTATATTTATTTTTGCTCCGTTTCCCTTTTCAAACAAAGGAGAGAAAGTAGCTGCCACCAAAATGGCGAATATCGACGCCGCTTCAGGACAGCCAATGGAAACAGAGCGTCTATATTGATCGCTGCGACGCCATACCAAAATTTTATCCAACGCTGCTACAGCTTTCACAAAAGTTTCGTCCACTCACGAAAAGCGAACGCCAGCGATATTTAGATACATACAGCGAATATATTTCACAACTACACTCAAAGTGTTCATGTCTAGCTCAATACAGAATAATTGTGATAAAACTGTTTAAATTAAATTTACATGTACATAACGCAGGTATTGATTTTTTTTAATATGTAATTTAAAATAGACAAGATTATGTATTTCAAAAATATTCAAGTAACTTTAAAAACTAACAAAAATATGGAATAGTGTATTCATTATGTATTGGTTTTATTCTTATCCTAGGTAAATTTTAGATAAAAAAAGGCAAATTCCTACGACGAAAGAATTACTGATTTTTTGCCCGTGGGTGAGATAACCTAAGTAGTAAGTTAAACGCCAATTGCCACTGCTAGTCCGTGACTACTAATACAAAGCCTTTCTTTGTATCTACTGACAGAAAGCAACCTACTAATCTGTCATCCAATTTAATCCGATATCATGAAAGCGTGACATGTGTCGTAAATAACTAATGATATTGAGGGAAAAAAATCCCAGTTATGGCATACTAATAAGTTCGAAACTGACTGGTGATTCTGCTAACGAATGATCTTAGGTGGTTACTAGATACGGCGGTTGTAATTTAATTCTGGAGGGTGTTGTAGTACACCGAGTAGTTGCTTCCCACTATCTTATTTGCTAAAAATTTATTTTTTGCCTACTCTGAAATCTCGTAATGAAAAATAGATAAACACAGCACCACAAAATATTATGTTTATTAACATGTTTGTATATCGGTTACAGATTAACATTTTTTTCGAAAAAAAATTACTATTTTTTTTTTGTAGAAGAAAAAACTGCTAACGTTAAATCTTTATCTCAAAAGACTTACGACTAGACTTCGGAAACTTTGTGGCGACAAA